TGTTCTCATGAGACAGTACTCCTGTTCTCATGAGACAGTGTTCTCTGTTCCCACGGGACAGCTTCTTCAGGGTGCATCAGTATGTTGTCAGGATCAGGGCCTCCATTTTCAGTCCTCTCTTTTCAGTCCATCTCAGGGGTATACTTTGATCTGGTCAACATCTATTGCTTCGTCAGTATGTGCCAAGGTGCCGACAGACCCGCTGTCACCCGTGACAATTCACCCTTTTTTGTATTTGTGCGACAAAGATGGCCTTAACAGTCTGTTGCAGGGCCCTTTGCAACAGGCTGATCAAGCAAGGCATCAGTATCGACAACCCCTGATTCAAAGCTAAGAAGAAATGCAGCATTTCCCAATGAGGATGGATAACAACACTTCACCAAGAAAAAAGAGAGTTCATCTACCATCTAGAATAAGGACGCACGATGGTCCGACAGATTCATGTAACACATTCCTTTAAAATCTTGACACTCATGTAAAGTATTTTTTAAGTCTACACACATATATATCTACACAGTTTCTCTCTCTCACACAATCTCTCTTCAGTCATTCATTGGTGGCCACCTCAGTCACACTTCACTCACACATAGCTGGAATTTCTATTATACTTTTACATTTTAATTACACACTTTATATTTTAAGTAGTTATTGACTGTGTACTTCTCAGTTTGTCATCTTTGGCAGTCACGTCCAACAACTGTACCTGGCCTGAAAAGGAATACATACAAGGAACATAAGGCCTAACAAATTTAAATGAGATCTACTCCGATTTAGCATCTGTTTATGCACCTGCATGGTCTCTTCGTCCGTGCTGATGGGCAGGTGTCGCTGCCAGAGCGCCGCATGTACCCCCCTGCAAGGATCCTGTGGTGTTAAACCATCAGGTGGAGTGAGAAGTTTGCTGTCCTCTGAAGCATGCCAAGGGGCTAGGAGACACAAGAGTGACTCAAAGCTGAGCAGTGAGAAGAGTGCACCCACCCCTGTAACTAAAAGGAGATTCACATCCCTTGGATCAACAATTCGGGCATTAGTGAGAGAGCGTGGGGAGCAGGATAAAAAACTTCAGGCTCTGGATGAGGATTTTGTGAAGACTGAAGCAAAGCTGAGTGCTGCAGTTCAGGAGAAAACATCTCTTTCAGCAACTGTTGCGTGCCTAAAAAAACAGCTTCTGGAACTAAAAAGAAGCAATGAACTACTGAAGTCAAAGCTGTCTGAAGATGGTGTGCAAAAGAAAATGAGCAGCCTGTGCATGAAGTTAATGAAGCTCAGAAACGTGAGGGATGCTAAGGAAAAGACTGCACTTGCAAAGCAGGAAAACATGGAAATGAAGCTGCAGGAAGTGCAAAGGAATCTAGAGCATTCAAAAGGAAAAGTAGCACAGTTAGAAGAAAAACTGTCTGCTACAGAGAGAGAGAAAGTTGTAGAAAAGTCTGACACTGGAAAACTCCCGGAATACATCACAGAGCTCAGTAGTGTTGCAGAAACAGCTGAGAAATACAAAGTAGCTATTGCTCAGATGGAGGAGACACTGATTAAGAAAGACCAAGATATTGAGATCCTCAGGGGTACCCTCAAAACAAAAGAGGAATCATGTAAACTGATGAAAGAACTTAATGAAAAATGTCAATTGCTTCAACAAGAAAAAGAGAAAGAGTTGTCTGAGACCAGAGGAAAATTCCTGAGTATGACTGCTGAAATAGAAGACCTGAAAAAAAAAATTGCTTTGGAGGAAGAACAACACCAAAAACTGCTTCAGAAACATGAGGAGGTTGTCTCTCAGCTGCAGCAAGAGAAGGAGTCATCTGCATCAGCACAGCAGAAGTTACTGGAGTTGCAGGATGAGGTAACAAGGGAGAGACGACTTTTTGAAGAAGTGCTGAATGATACCATGAATGAGTTGAATAAATTACATGCAAAGGAGAAGACAGCTGAAAAGTTGGTGAAGCAATTGGAACAAGAAATCAAATCTCAACGTCTTGAACTTGCACAGATGGAAGAAAAGTTGAAAGGGAAGAATGCTGAGTTGGAGCAAATCAATGAAACTCATGGGAGTGCTATATTGCAAATCCAAGAGCAGCATAGGAATACACTGGAGAAACTTGGAGAGACTGTTGCTGACTTCGAAAGCTACAAGAAGACAACAGCTGAAGAAATACGCTGTCTTAAACTGGAGAATACCTCTCTGAAAGAAGCAGTTGCCAACCTTAAAAAATTAGGCCAAGAGAATCAACAATTGCTCCAGGAAGCAGAATATACTAAAAACAAAGAATGTGCAAGGATGCTTTTAGAAGTCCAGACCAAGCTTGCACTAAAAGAAGCAGAAACAGAGAGAACAAAAGAGTCTTGCCTTGCACAAATGACTAAACTTCAGGAAAAAATGGAAGAGCAAACTGAAGAACTGAAAAGGAATACATACAAGGAACATAAGGCCTAACAAATTTAAATGAGATCTACTCCGATTTAGCATCTGTTTATGCACCTGCATGGTCTCTTTCCCCCCTTTTTATATTTTAAAATGTTCATTTGATGTGTAAAATGTTTTCTTGACAACAATTTGTCCTATAAGTGAGTTAGGAATCTCTGTATAATTGTTTTAGCTCTGGAAAACCAGCAAATTACAATATTACTTGTCTTTACAGTTTTTCAAAACTTCCTAAATTGTGGAGAATTAAAGCAATGTCTGAGTTGCATGAGTAATGTGTGATTGGCAGCAACACATGATTTCTGTCTATAGTCGGTACCTAGAAAAATGAATAGATAAATCATTATTACAGTCTGCTAATACAGCTTGAAATTCAGGGTCTTCTGTGAGAAGTCAGTCCAAGTCGTCTCTGATGTCTGGGACGTAATTGACTCTCAGCTCTTGTTCATCTGCTTCTTTTAGTTGTTCTTCACCTTTAATAAAAAACTCACAAATTTGTTATTAATAGTTCAGTCAGTTTTAAGTGGGTATCATGGGTAATTTTGCAGTTTTTCTTTGAAACTGAAGGCCTAGTGATGATTCTTTGCAGTATAATTCTCTCTGTAGGAGATAGGTTATATGGCTTGGTTTTATGAATTTTTTCCTGGAGCATTCTTCAATCCTGCTTCTCAAAGAACATTGGTTAGAACAATCACATTTAGTTTTTGCTCATCTTTTTAGGTCTCTAACTTCTGTATTTACTTTTACTTTGCTTTTATCATTTTGAGCAGCATTTTATCATATTGTACTGCAGAAAAATTCTCTCCTATTGTAAAGGAAAACACTGAATTTCAGGAAGGTCACTGTAACTTCAATAAAAGCAAATAGCAGCTTTCATTATGAAGAAACAATTGACCGTTCAAAATCCCAGCATATGGAAATCTTTCAGAGGATGGGATTACTGATTTTTATAAGGTCTCAGTTGCATAATTGGATTAAATATAGTTTTGTATCTTTTACTTTTCTATTATCAAGCCACACATGGCTTGTGATTTGAACAGGATTCACAAATTCATAGGGCAGATTCCTGCCTCTCTGAATGTAAAAATGAAACTGGACAACAGTCATGTCCTTTTAAAACTTAAGCAGTCTCACCCAGCCTCTGAAACTATATGATCAGCTAGGATTTATAAGCAGCTAATTCTGAATTTTTACTGATATATATATATATATTTCTGGGATATGCCTGAAAACTTTAAACATCTTATTTAAACAAAATAGGTGTAACAGTTTAACTTATATCGATGTATTTAAGAAGTTAACACTCTTAAAGTAGCTCTCAACTTTAGCAATTTACATAAAGCCACAGTAAAACTCACTCAGGCTACTTTAAACTAGGGTTTTGCTCATAAGAGTATACCAGGGGATCCAGAATGCACACCTTGCAAAGCAGCAACAGTTCTGGTTTAAGCTTGTCACCTGATAACAGGGACACACCTCTGCTGCTTAGCATAAGAGACTAGGACAGATGCAGTTTAAACTTGAAACACTGTCTGTTGTTAGGCAGTTTCCTGTATTATATCTTTAGATTTTATCTCTCTTTCCACAAAGGTGGAAACTTTCAGCTAGAAACAGTTTATTTATTTTTCCCCTTTTGCTCTGGCAAAAACTGCCCCTGTCAAATAAGATATTTTTGAGCTAGGTATTCCACCAAATAAGTCTACCTTAAAGCTAACTGTAAAATACAGAAGCAACAAAAGAATGTTTACAGAGCTGTTTGAGCAGGGGGGGGAGAGGGAAGGTAGAGCAGCTGTGCTTAGAGCTCTGCCGGAGAACCGCTCCCCCCACATGCATTGGAATTTTCTTATCACAGACAGTTGTCAGCAGTTACTTTAAAAACTCTATTTCTCCATTACATTTATGTATGTATTTTAAAACAAGTTTGCTTATTTTAATGAACAACTTCAGAAAACAGTTAGTGAGACTATGTTATGAAATTGTAAGACAATTTCTTTCTCCAATCAGAAGGTTACAAAGTTGCAATTTCTACAAAGTAGGATATTTGATTCTCCTCCCAGCTCTGAGGGAGTGAATAAAGTTTCTGCTTAGTTACCAAGCAACAGACCATCTCTATCATGTGAAATACACTCTGTTTCTTTCCCTGGCAAGGCTGAATCTTTTCAAGGGAAGGCTTTTTACTTTCCTTTTTCCTTTTTCTCCTGGCAAAAAACTTTGTTTCTTCACATACACACACACAGTAACAATAATATTGTGAGCTCACAAAAAACACATTCCACAGACACTGCAGTTAACACAAGAATTAACAGAAATACCAGAAGGCAGTTTTTTGCCCCCCTTTTTCTTCCCCCCCCCAGTAGGGATCGTCATCTTCAGGCTTCCATGACACCAAACTTGATTTGTTGCATATTTTTCTGTGTTTTATCTTACACACATTGTGAGACTGAAACAGCCAATTAGTACATGAACAAAAAATAGGTAACTCAGGCTGCGAAGAAGCAAGAAAAGGAGGTAGATGCTGACTTTTAAGTTCAAAGGCTTATACAGGGATGGGCTTTGCTGTCTTGTTTTCTACCCAGCTCCCGTTGTTCTAATTTATCTCTGTCCCTCTTCATTCGCTTATATATCTTGATTTGAATTTCTTTTCTTAGTTGTTTTCTTGGTGGAGTTATCTGGTGGGAAAACTGCTTTTTCTGCAGCAGTGGCAATGGAGAGGGGGGGTCCTTACTTCTTTTCTGTCTCCGGGAGTGAATTATTAAATTTTTCTGCATTTTTTTGCTTGGAGGTGTAGTTCAAGGACAATTTGTTACATCGGCAACCTGCTTATCTTTCTGGGCAACTGCGTTTCAGAGTTTTAGTTCTTATATGAATTATTGCATAGATCGTTGCCTCCCATACTCTTCTAAATCTTTCAAAGTCTCACGGAGCAAGTGTTAGGCAAACACATGAAATGCAACTTAACGTAGTAGCTTCAAAGCCTTATTTTCAGTACTATAACAGCACACGTCGTAAATTAAATTCAACAACCTTGACATTCTTTCGGTTTAAGAGGGATTTCCATGTGGATAGAACCACACTTTCCTCCTTCGTTATGTGCTGTCCCCTTGTTAAAATATAGTCCCCGGTGGCACCCCCGTTAGCTTACCTAATGAGGGTCAAAAAGTTCAGGTCCGGACCATTTCGCGGGAACTTCCCGCTCTCAAGCTTCGCCGGGCTCCGTTCCCCCTGTGCCTCGCCCCACAGGTCCAATTTCTCTCTAGGAGAGAAAATCCTCTGCTCTTTCCCCCTCTAGGAGGGAAGTCACGGCAGCTCCGCAATTGGAGATAAATCCATCTTCAACGCTGCAATCACGTCGGCGTCGCCAGATGTCGCTGATAAGTGTCGGAACGGCCAAAGCGACACAAAAAAAGGTTCCAGCAAAGTTTATTCCAAGAAAAAAGCAGGGACAGCCGGGGCTGCTGCGCAGCCCCTTAAGTACAGTTTTGAACACACGTAATGCACACGGATAGGACAGTTCAAACTTTCACACCAGAATTCTTACAGCTAATAGGTGCATTTTCTAAACTCTACTTTCTCACAACAACTTTGCTCTTTCTCAAAACAGCCCAGTTCTTTCCCACAACAGTCCCGAGCACCTGCTCTTATTTTTCTCTCATGTTGATGTTCTTCCCAACCACTCTCGTTCAAAAGGTCCTTGTTCTCATGAGACAGTGCTCCTGTTCTCATGAGACAGTGTTCTCTGTTCCCACGGGACAGCTTCTTCAGGGTGCATCAGTATGTTGTCAGGATCAGGGCCTCCATTTTCAGTCCTCTCTTTTCAGTCCATCTCAGGGGTATACTTTGATCTGGTCAACATCTATTGCTTCATCAGTATGTGCCAAGGTGCTGACAGACCCGCTGTCACCCGTGACACCAGAGAAATGTGAGAGAGGTTTATGATATGGATTTAAAGCAGCAAGGTGAGGTGCAAAGTTACTACTTGAAAGCTGGTTAATGCACTCTGGGGGTGTCAGCCAGTACTTGTGCAGCAGGAGACAGAGAGGTGAGAACCTTACAGACCTTAAAAAAGTTCATCTAGTGGGGATCAATTTAATACAAGCAAGGCCTTTTTTGTTTTTCAAGATTTTAAATAAATGTGTGACTTTGGAATTAAAATTCCCTGGGAGCAATGAACATGTATGATGCTCTAGAGCATAGCTTAAAATTCAATAAAGGCTCTTCTTTATAAAAAATTTGTTCCAGAGTCTTCTTAAGTAATTCAGAATGACATCTTGAAAAATAATTCTTCACACAAAAATACTGTGTTCAGGAAGCCTGATCTGAATAATGAAATGAGAAGCACATATGCTTTCTATAAAGAGTTTAGAAAAAAGATCTCTTATTGTTTAAAATATAGTGCTTAGTGCTGTCCCTTCACCCGCCACATCACCCATTTGGTCTCTGAGAGCACGCAAGAGAATTCTCAAAGCAGGAATCCATCTATTTTATTTCTGGGACTACTGGCATGAGATCTCTTACCATTTCAGCTGAGATATTTAAGGCTCCCTGTATGTGTTATTCAGCAGCAAAATGCTTCTTTATTCCCAAGGTTTCAGAAGTAGCATAACTGCTTTGGTCAGCACTGCATATTTATGCACAGAAGAATAATTGCTTTAGCTATTCAGTTATCACAGGAGGGTTCCTGGCTTACTCCATAAATCGCTATAATACTGTTTACATTGTTTATTCCTGCTAGGAAAGCTTCAGGAATGCAAGTATCTCAGCACAACAAACCCTGCAGACTCACCTGGCCCAGGGGCTGATTGCGCAAAGCCCCGAATTGCTGCCAGTGCACATTCCACCTGCCAGGCACTTGCACACGTCCAAAAAACAGCTTAAAAAAGAACGTAAAATGTGCATACGTGGAATTACCCTCTGTCTAGTCACTGCTTGCTGCTTGAAAAAAGCTATCATTGCACATGTGAAAATGTTTAACTTGGTAAATACAATTAAATTTGCAGGTAACAGAGATGGTG